GCCTCATGGCCAAACACTGCCAGCCTGATCATCCCCACTGCCCCCCACTGCTGGCCTGCTCACTCCCAACTGTCCTCCCCTCCTGGCCTGATCACCCCTAACCGCCTCTGCCTCAGCCTTGGCCTCGCCGCCATATATATATTTCAGAGAGGAAGGGAGAGGGGGAGAGAGAAACATCAATGATAGAGAATCATGGATTGGCTGCCTGCTGGAGCCCCCTACTGGGGATTGAGCCCACAACCTGGGCATGTGCCCTTGACCAGAATTGAAAGGGACCCTCCAGTCTGTAGGCTTACACTCTATCTACTGAGCCAAACCAGCCAGGGCACCACCAGTCACTTTTAGACTGTTGTTATTGCTTCTAGAAGAAACCCCGTGCCACCTTCCCCATCTAGCTGCCGGCCCCACCCAACCATCTGCATGCACACTGCTGTTTCAGACATTTCATGGGAATGGAACCATACACAATAGTTTTGTGACCTGCTGCCTCACTTGGGTGTATACCTCAGAGTGGCGTGTTGCAGGGTCCTATGTGACTGATATTAATCATTTGAGGAGCGGCCACACCATTTCCATTCCGACAGTAGTGTGTGAGGGCTCGGATTTGTCTACATCCTCGCCAACACTTGCTATCATATAACTTTTGGTTCTAGCCTCCACGGTGACCTCGGGGTCCCGCCGAAGCATTACTCTCTAGAGCAAAAATCTATGCTTCTCAATTCAGTTTTAAAAGTGTAAGTTGTTTAAAATGTCTGCACAAACATCTCTATTGGTAAGTTCTCGCTGCTCAGGATCCGCTGTGACACAGCTTGCAGGGGCTAAGTCTGCCCCAGGCCAACCTCACCCCTGCTGCCTGGTCCTGTCTGGTACTGGGGAGGGCTCTGGGGAGGGCGCTGGGGGCACCAGCCAACCCTCTGCGGGGCTGGCCACAGGCTGCGTTGGGCTTTGGGAGCTGAGGGAGGAAGAGTGAAGTTCAGGAGCAGCTTTGGGGCCCGGCCTGATGTGGTGACTGTGCTGCTCCCTGCAGGCCAGGCCAAGGTGAATGGTGCCCGGAGGGGAGAGGGGGGCACCTTCTCTGAATGAAGCCATCGGAGTCGAGGAGTTCCTGGGTGCCCGCCTGCGCACTCCACTGTGCCCACTGTCCTGGCTTCTAAGCCTCAGAAGACAAAGGTTTGATTAGCAAAAATGAAAACTTTAAAGAGGTGGCGTGGGGTCCCCCTTGGAGTGGCTCAGACACGGTTCATGGTCCCATGTGGGACTGCAGACACCAGTGGGTGTGGGCAGCAGCCACGTGGGCCTGGCATGGCCCTCTGGCAGGGCCTGAGTGCAGGGAGGAGCCGGAGCTTCATTGGGAGAGAAGGTTCACAGGGCTGAAGGCTCCCTCTTCAAACACTGTTCACTGGTCATGGTCTGGCTCCCAACCCCCATCCACGGGGTCCTCCTCACAGAGTAAAGGGCGCCAGGCGAGGCCTCTTCCTGGCCATCCCCATGGACCCATTGGCTCTCCTCAGTCTGTGGGGGCAGATTGTGGGGCTCCCCACTGGGCAGCGCAGCCACAGCTACAGCCCTGAGGCCAGGCTCTGGGCTCAGAGCTGGGGTTCTCCAGTGTCCCAGCCCCCTGATCTGCAGCCCCCGATCTGCAGTCCCCCCAACCACAGCCCACCTGATCTGCAGCCCCCGTTCTGCAGCACCCCGTTCTGCAGTCCCCCCTGTTCTGCAGCACCCCTCCTATCTGCAGCCCCCTGTGCAGTGACTTTGGGCTCGTTGTGAGTGTGTCATTTATTCCAGGCCCGAGGGTGTGCTGGCGCTCAGGGGCTGGCAGCTCTGGGAGCCTGCGGCTGCTCAGGTCCCTGCTGTTCGGCTGTGTGTGGCATTACGGTGTCTGGGCTAATTTGCATATTTCTCTATTATATATATATATTCTTTAGGATTTATTGCATTTTTTCATTTTATGTATATGTAAAATATTACAGCTTAAAACAGCAACTTCACTTAAAAATACACAAGTAGAAACTATCTTATAGTAAGAGCCTGATTTAAATATCAAGTGAGATAGAAAATTTTAGGATTGACAAAGACATTATTTTAAGTAAATGGAAACAGTTTTAAAAGTATATTTCTATACTGTTTGGTACTCCTTTTGTTGCTTTCATATGCTGATTCTGGAAATAAGTGGTTAGTTTAAGAAAAATGAAAGCATTGTTTGCAGAATTGAGATCTGAAAGGCTAGCCTAACTGCAATTTTTAAATGTAGTAAAGACCCAGAATTTTACCTCATTTTTTAAAATATAACCAAAAAAAAAACACAACAAAACACCTGTGTGATCGGTATAACTAATGTAGGGCAAACACTGACAAATTGCAAACTCTCTCTGCAATCTTTTTAGAGCATATATAGCTGCTTTAATGTTATTTTCTCCATTCTATTGGTTCTACTTGGACTCATATGCAAGCAATCTGAATCCTGTTGTCAACCTATAACATTTTTGTGATGAAGAAAAGATTGCACTGCGGTGTCCAGTGTGTGAGACAATGTAAAGCTTATCTGGGGAAACTTTTTCATTGATACCCAATTGTCCCAAGGCTGATAACTGAAGGTGAGAGGTAATTCCAAAAAACAATGTGCAGAAATTATAAGGAAAACATAAGCAACAAGTTTGAGAATAAACTTAAGTTTCAAAGACACTGTAGTTAAAATATCTCTAAAGTCTATCCTTATTTTCATCCCCGTTTGTTTCCTATAGACAATAAGGATTTTTTCTCTGTATATCTTGAATTTTCTCTAGCTATGTTTTATTCAAGGTTCAAGGTCATAATAGCTGCGTAATTATGACTGCACTACCAACACAACTTTTAAATATTTCCCCAGACTCCCCCAAGTTAAAACTGTTTGGATTAGAACCGTAATTCTAATAAATCACACGCAAATTGTTTCATTCTCACTTAAAAGGAAAATATCATTTGCCATTAAAACTTTCTGGTATTAATATAAAAGTTACTTTTCTAGTAATCTGAATTCTAAACAGTGGATAAATTTTTAAAATATATTAAAAATACGGTTTCTTTTTCCCAGTAAACTTTATTGATAAGCTGATGTCAGACAGACCAGCATGGCAGAGGAGGGCGAGCGTCCTCAGGAGTGCAGCGCGCGCCACTTGTGTAGAGGGCCGCGGCTGGGGACGTATTTCACTCCACAGCCATCAGGGACGAGGAGCTTCCTGGCCACTTGGTCTTCAAATTCGTCGGCGTTAAACTTGGTGAAGCCCCACTTCTTGGAGATGTGGATCTTCTGGCGGCCCGGGAACTTGAACTTGGCCCTGCGCAAGGCCTCCACCACGTGCTCCTTGTTCTGCGCCTTGGTGCGGATGGACATGATGACCTGGCCGATGTGCACGCGGGCCACCGTGCCCTGCGGCTTCCCGAAGGCGCCCCGCATGCCGGTCTGGAGCCTGTCGGCGCCAGCACAGGACAGCATCTTGTTGATGCGGATGACGTGGAAGGGGTGCAGCCGCACGCGGATGTGAAAGCCATCCTTCCCACAGCTTTTCACCATATACTTGTTGGCGCAGATCCGCGCGGCCTCCAGGGCTTCAGAGGAGAGCTGCTCATACTCATCCGACACCATGTGGCCGCAGAGCGGGAACTCATCCACTTTCGCCTTCTTCCGCCCCAGGTCGAAGATGCGGATCTTGGCATCGGGGACACCGCGGCAGAAGCGCGACTTCGGATACGGTTTGTTCTTACAGTACCGGTAGCAGCGAGCGGGACGGCGGCCCATGGCGACTCCGGAACCGTTGCAGTCTGGCGAGGCCCCACCCCACACACGCACGCGGCGTAGGCGGATGCCGGTCTACCCCACGGGACCATCGAGTTCTTGGAGGACCGGAAGTCTTTTTTAGGACGTCCCGCCTTCGCTGCAGCCACCTTCTTCCCCGAGTGTGGGTGCGACTGGGCACGTGAGCCGGGCGAAGAGACGGCAGGTCCACTCGCCCCGGAGCTGCCCGGGAGGGACCTGGGCCTCCGCAAGGCGCCGAAGCCATGTCCTTGTTGCTGTCCATTCTGGGTGTAGAACTTTTGCCCTAGGCTTTGTCTTAGTATAAAAGACATATTTTCCTAGAGGTTAAATGAGAAAGGTCTCTCCAGCTAGTCGATATACTCTATCGAAATCATATATTTTTCTAGAGCTCGTGTCTCCCATCAACATTTGTGTATCGATTGCTGTTCCTCCAGCTCTAGGTGGTCCCCTTCCTGGAGAAAGTGGTTCTCGGCCGGAGCTCTCTGATGAGGCTCAGAAGAGCTGAGCGAGAGTGGTGGCGGGGACAGTGACAAGATGCATTTTAGACGTGTCGCTTGGTGATAGCTTTAGCAACCTGAGACGTTGGTTTCATGTATTTGGCCATATGGAAAGATTTTATTATAAAAATGCCATCTACAAAGTTGAAATGCCAACTGCATTTTTAAACTTAAGGCTATTTACATTTTTATGCTTTATTAATCTTATATCTTACTGAGAATGAGTTTAATAGTTTTTTTCCCTCTGATACTAGATTTTGTAAAAGAAAAAAATTATTATGACAAGGATCAGAGTGTGGGGAAAGCGGAAAATAAATGGTCTATAATCCCTACTTGGATTTTTCGGGCTTTTTTGATTTCTTCATGCTGTTCCAGAAATCTATGGCATCATGGAACAAAAAACTTCCAATGTGAGTATATTCGTCCAATGCTTTCTCTTTAACAGGGAAACAAATAAGTTGTCACAAAATAACTTATGTACTTGAATGAGTGGGATTTTACAAAATAATCATATTAAAGCAGAAATATTAAAATTCCCAGTGTAGAGGACTTTCCCACCTTCCATAGAAGTTGCTTACTTCTCCATCCTTCATCTCTGCCTTGCTGTTTTCCTCAAATAGTTTCTATTTACTATGTAATCTTGAGTATGAAGATAACACAGCATATAATGTTGTGTTGTTCTCCTGGGCTTACAAGTCTAGGAGGGGATTTAGATGATACTCCAGTAGTGTTTCATCATATTACAAAATACAAAATGTGCCCAAGAGGAAAAGAGAGTGAGGCCTGAGAGCCTGGGGTAAGGCTCTGATTTAGATGGAGGAATGAACAGGGAAAACTTTATTAGGAAAGAGATGTTTACATTGTGAATGTGATGCATGGGCCTGGCATATGCAAAGACCCTGAAGCCGGCAAGAACATGGACCACTGAAGGAACTAGAAGGCCAGTGTGACTATGGGTGAGGGGGTGAGTGGCTGTGACTATGGGTGAGGGGGTGAGTGACATAATGTGAGTCCACATTGTGTAAGAGGGTGGCTTGCAAAGCACATAGTGCCCATTTACCAAGTTAGGGATTCTGATCTTTATTCAACCACTGGAGAGCTTTACACAGGTTGTATCCGGTCATAATGTATAATTGGGTCAATAGATTGGAAAGGGTAAAAGATAATGGATGCAAGATGAATGCTTTGGAACACAAAAGAAGTGAGGATAGCTTGAACATGCTTTTAGTGTATAAACACGTTTGTACCTTTTTATACTACATGCCCAGAATCTATTACAGTTCTGTGGGAGAGGGGTCTATGAGGTCAAAGAAAGATACTCAGCCAGTGTTCATGTGCCATCATGCACTCACCCCCACCAGGCTAGGCCATGCTTTCAAAAAGCCTAGAATTCTCTGACCAGCAGATGTTGTGTCTCTGCTTGCATAATCCTCTTTTCCTTAATCCAAAGGGTGACTAATTATGGTTTGCCTGGGACTGTGCCCATTTTGTACCTGGATGCCCTGCATCCTCCAAAACCACACAGTCACAGGCAAAATGGGAAGGATGGACACCCTCCCACACTTGTACATGGGGACCTTCATAGTTGCAGGATAGAGTCAGGGTGGGAAGAAAAGGAGAGCCAGACTAGGAATCCTCATTTATACTCCGTTCCTTAGGTGTACAATTATTAGAAAGGAGTCTGTGGAAAATGTGTAAGCCACACCATTATATTTTTTAAAATTTTAAAAAGCATTCCCCTCAATCATTTCCAAAATTTTGAGTGTTCCTCAACTCCTGCCACCTACAGTGTGCATCATAGTAAGCAAACCTTGTAAAAACTATAAAACTCATCTGCTTTGAAGCAGCCTGAAATACTGTCAAGACGATGATACATAGGAAATAACTTTTATTTTTCTTATTTACTAAATTTATTACTTTGATAATAAATGTGTAGCAAAGGGAGACACTGGTGTTCTATAAAATAGAGATGATTTAAAGAATGAGGAGTGGAGATAAGGAATACGGTAAGAAAGGAGCATAACAGCTACATAAAACTTAAGATCTGTGAGAACAAGGACTATATTTGGGTCACTGTTTTGTCTTCTGTTTTTAATGAATTGTGTGCACCATAGCACAATAAGGTTTTGAATGAGTACACAACACCACTGTTGGAAATTTTTTAACAACCTGCTCTTAGGGAGCAGGGTTGAGGAGCTCTGATATGTAGTGTTTGCTGACTTTTGTGGTGTAAATATCCCATCATCAATTTCAACCACAACTGAGCCAGTGTTAGCTGGTTCCAGCATGCTCCATTTGGCTGTGCTTACCAAAGAAAAATAGGAAAAAAAACAAACATGGCCAAAGTTACTAACACATAACTTGAAATAATAAATTTGGGGATGGGTAGGGAGAGATCATTTTCTAGGAGCCCTTGAAAACCAGACAGATAAACATGCTTAGACCTGAAATTCCAGCTTGGACTGTGAAGAAGTCTTTCCTCCATGGTTTCTCTCTTCTAGTTCACAACCCCTGTGTGAAAGGTCTGCACTGTTCTGCACTTATTGATCAGTTATGCATCCAGGCAGCTTTTAAGTACTTGAAATTAGCACCGGGCAGTGTTAGAAATGCAATCAAATTCCCAGCATCCTCTACCTTCATGCAAAGACTGAAAAAGAACAGTTCTGTGTATCAGATCAATGAAGCACTGCCTTTCCTTTGATATCACATTTCAACCATTTCACAAAGAACTAAACCTGAATTTGTTCCAAAAAAAAATAATATGCTCTGGAGTCTAATATATTGACTGACATGCACCCCGCATTTTCTCTCCTGCTGCTGGAACTGTCTGCATTGTTGATCAGAGTCATTATGCGGTCTTCCATCACTTGTTTGACAATATACTGTGATTCAGAGATCATGTTCCCACTTGCCTCTCAATGACGTGTGATGCCTCTACTGATGATGAACAGTCATTCTCATTAGTGTTTCTTAGTAACTTCACACTGGGAGCTGTAAACTCAATATTTTTGAAAGCCCAGGTGAGCAACTTGACTATATTTTCCTGAAGTTGAGTAGTAAATGTAAAAGAGTCATGGTTATGATTGTCCTTTTCTTCAGTCAGCCAATGGTATCTATTGTCATGACTAATGGGTGGTCATGATGATGTTTCTCACTGATCTGATTCACAATGGTCCACTTATCTGTTTGACAAATGCACATTTTCCAAATAGAAGTAGTGTCAGATGATTTTAACTGTTTAGTTTCCAGGAGCCTAATTAATTTAACTGATAATTTATACATTTTGATTCTTTCTTTGGGAATTTTTTTTGATATAGGAACTTAGTAGGTACATTGTTTACCTTTGTGCTTTGATAACATAGGATAAATTACCCCAAAATGAGTGACTTTTTTACATTGTTCCAGACAATTGGAAAAAATAGTACTGTATAATATGTTCATTAGAATTTGAATTTAGTTTGTAAATTTCTATTTTACCTGTTTAGATTTTGTACTTGCACAAAATTTAAAGCAATTAATCAGCTTTATATGGTAATTAGGGTGAAGTTTTATAAATATTTAAGTAATACTATAACAAATATATAATTTATACAATAAATAAACATGCTATAGTAAAGCATAATAAGAAAAAGCTATATTAAAGATGACTTGAATCAACACAAATAATGTACATATATATTTTGAAGACCTCTCTCTTAAAAGGAATTAGTCCAAATGAAAAATTCAAGAAACGTTGATCTGGGGTTAAGGTGTGTGCATGAAGCTTGTCCTCCCTCCCACATATTGAGTACATGCACTTGCTATTCTTTAGACACAAGTTCCTGTCTATTTATTTAAAAGGCAAAATGATGGAATTAATATCCTTTTTCTCCTACTTCGCAAGTTGCTTGCCAAGTAGGAAGTTTGTGTGATTTACTAGGGTTATTGCCATGCCTGAAAAATATTTAAATACTAGATATTTTAATCATTTATGTCATGACACCCAATTGTATTTCAGGTTAAATGAATCTTATATGTTTAATGGATGACCTCTTTACCCACTAAACAATTATTTTTTAAATAAAGTGAACACTCAACATTAGTGATTAGATGTAAGCATACTTTAATTATGTAAAAAGCATTCCAATTGACAAAGCACTGGCTTTGGAAGGTTTTCTGTTTTACTGTATACAAAATGTATCCATTTTCTTATTCCAATTAATGTTTTCATAACTTCATGAGGACTGGCCTGTAATTATATCCATTTTACAGATGGAGAAAGGACAGTTGAGAACATCATATTATAGCTTATTTTTTAAAATAAAATACTAGAGAAAATAACATGACTTTATTTACAATCTTGAAGTAGTAAAGACTTAATTGAAGCAGGACACAAAAGCCTCTGCTGTAAAAAAACAAAACAAAACAAAAAGAAAACCAAAAAATTTGTGACTTCATAAAAAGTTCAACTTCTATAAAATTAAAATTAATAAGTACTAGTAAATGGTATCATATATG